ATCCAAATGGCATTAAAATAGTTTTTTTTGACTCCCAAGTAAGATCCATATTGATTTTGTCGACTTTGTGATAAATCAATTAATATTTGTTCTTAGCACAATATCTTGTTTAATTTCTCTTCCCTCATAATAGTAAAAGAGAAAAAAGCGAGCAGGACAGTCCGAGACAGCCACGTAATCATAGTAGAGTGTTTTTTTTTATGAGTGTATCGTGTTGAAAATGTGGAAAAATTAAAAAAATCTCATGAAGAAAATAGATAGCTCGCTTGTCGTGCTTCGAAAAGCGACTCTGTAAAAAAATCAAAGGGTTGTGTCCTAGACACGACCGCAGTATGACGTAGAACCTATCTATCTATCTCTATCTATGATGCATGATATATGCATTTAGGTTAACATCCGACGTCCCTCCTTTTTTACATAATCTGCACAAAACATACTTTCCCGCCATTTTATTATGAATGGGGGCGGAGCAGAAAGTTTCTTTTGTGCAGAATATGTAAAATAGGATGGACTTTCAATGTTAATATAATTGCATATATAGGAGTACCAGATATGTTTTACCGTCAAGTTGTGTGTAATTCACCAACTTAATATCATCATCCAACTTAATATTCAAGCAAATTTTTTCTCAAATTTGAATGTTTTGGTGTGGGAAGAAATTAAGGGAAAAACTTCTGTTTTTACTAACAATTGTGGTTTGTTTATAATTTGTTTCCCGGAAAAAAGTGATCGTCAAAGTTCATGTCTTTTTCGGGTTATTGTTGAGGGAGGGGGGGGGGTTGTTAAGGGAGGAGGAGAGCTTGTTGAGGGGAGAGAGGTTTTTGTGAAGGGGGGAGGGGGTTTACATACATTGCTTTTCCTCATTTCTCATTGTATCGCATTCCTCATTGTAGTCACGCCGTGATCCACCTTTAGCCGCTGACTTTGTCCTGGAGGACCAAGTGCCACACCGTCCGAAGCGACAATGAGCAAAAGCACGACAGCAGCGCTGTTTTATATCTTTTCAGGTTCAGGCAGAACGATGTGCAACCGAACCTGATAGAATTTCCCGCCGTTTTTTTATGAATGGGGCGGAGCAAAAAGTTTCTTTTGTGCAGAATATGTAAAAAAGGATGGGCTTTGGATGTTGATATAATTACATATATAGAGGTACCAGATGTGTTTTACAGTCAGTTGTTGATAATTAATCGGGCGTTTTTTTTTTTTTGAAAATGTTGGCTCTGCATGTAAAAAATTAATTGTTTATACATAATTGTGGTTTGCCTAAAATTTATTTCCCGGAAAAAAATGATCGTCAAAGTCCATGTCTTTTTCGGGTTATGTTAAGGGGTAGGGGGAGAGGTTGTTAAGGGAGAGGGGGTTTTACATGCACGTTTTTTCAAGTATCATTCCTCATTGTGGTGGACACGCCGTGATCCACCTTTGGCAGCTGACTTGGTCCTGCTTGCTGGAGGACCTAGTACCACGCCGTCCGAAGCGGTAATGATCAGAGACAGGAGAGCAGCGCTGATTTATATCTTTTCAAGTTCAAGCAGAATGATGTGCAACCAAGTGGTATTCGTTTTTGATGACAGGGTTTGAGAAAAAGGCTTATTTCATGAAAACAGTGATAAAATTATCATTTGTACATTTTCAAAAGTTTAATTACAGAAAAATTAGAAAAATATTTATTTCAACCGGTTCGTAATGTTATATCCTATCGATTGGCGTATTTGAATTTAAATTTCATCTATAAATGACAAAGTTACAAGCGTTCAAAACCTAACACTCCTTCACCACACATATTTTTTGATTTGCACCCCAGTATAGTCGACAAAGACGTAGTTCTACGTCAAAATGAAGCCACTTTAGTAGCGACGATCATTGAAAGATTTTTACCGGAGTTAAATAAAGGAGATAGTAGGTATCCGAAAGTTTTATGTGTTGTACTCAGCAGCTGACGAAGGTGGCATTTACCACTAAATCATCCTGAGGGGCGGAAAATTTGCTTGGACTTTTAAAAATAAATATATATGTTTGACTCAACGGCGAGATCGAAAATAAATTCTGGCAATCATGACGATAAGTCCCTTAACCGATAATGCCGAAAATACAGGAATGAAACTCACATGAGGTTAGTTCTTCTTGCCCAGTGAGTTTAGGTAGCCCTCACCTTGAATTACTACAGAGTTGCTAGAGCTTCATTGCAGTTCCCATATTTTGTCCATGGAAATTTTCAGGAAGTTTCAGCGACCTTCTAGGAAATTCTGCGAACAATAGGGAACTGTGATGAATTTTAGGAAAGTACTGCAAACTTTAAATAATTTCCTCCAATAAAGCAGAGAAATTCAACAACTTTCAGATAAGTTCATTGAACTTCAGGGAAGTTCTACAAACTTCAGGAAAATTATTAAAACTTTAAAGATGTGCTTCGATCTTCAGAGAAGCTCTATAAACTTCAGGAAAATTCTGTCGACTTCAGGGACGTTTTGTGAGCTTCTGGGGAGTTCAATGTCGTTCTGGTAAGTTCTACGAACTTCAAGAGAGTTCTGTGAACTATAGCAACATTATATGAATTTCAATGATGCTCTGCAAAAAGTTCTTTAAACATAAAGAAATTTTGGCAAACTTTAGGATGGTATGTGAACCACAGGGAAAATTTAATAACATTAGGAAAGTACTGTGAACTTTAAGAAATATCTGAGAATTTCAGGAAAAAAAGCCAAACTCAGAGACGGTCAAAGAACATCAAGAAAGTTCCGAGAATTTCATCGAAGTTCAAGGAAATCAAGGAAAAACAGGGCTTTGAATTTGAACGTAACTTCTATAAGCTGTTGGTTGCACAACGCCTACTCTATGTCTTAGAAAACAGGTATAGTAGAAATAATTTCTTGTGATATCTCTTTCTCTTTTACGCTTCCCTTATGAAATGTGATCGAGGGCATGAGCAGGGTAAAAATGAGAGTTCGCCACCCAAACAAATATCGTGAATACGACTCACGCATGGTACATTGCCGTTTACCGGTATAGAAAAGGGAGCAGTTTATAAAAATTGAGGTTCACAAATATCTAGAAGAAATATGTTAACAAGAAGTTCAAACCAAACTCAGCAGTCAAAGATGTGCGGGTTTGTAGATATTTGTTAGAAAAAATCACCGCAGAAAAAAAAGAAATTCATAAAAATTTGCAAATTATGTCTGACGCAGCATTCTTCTATGAAACGTCATGCATGTAGTGATAACCAATTTGTCGCCAAAAGTAGGCAAAAAACTAGCCGAGGTTATTTTTGTAAACGTCGCAGGAAGACCAGGAATCAATGTTTTTCAATATACAATCCAATTTTTTTAATAAAATTTTTTACGCGAGTTTTAAATTACCTTTCAATTAATATTCTGATCTTTGAAATCAGCCCAATAGTTCAAAAGTTGTACTAAATGTTTAGGCATTTAAAAAATAAAATAAAAATAAACGATTTTTGGACTACTCTAACGTTGAAATGCTCCTGATGACAAAAAAATAAAAAAAAAAATTTCCCAAGAAAGGAATAAAATTACAATTTTTTACCAAATTCTAAGAACCACTATATCGTTTTGCAATGGTATGGCTGAATAATAGTAAATTTAGAGACTACACAATTGTTTAATTATTTTATTAATTTAAATAAACATTATGAGATCATGACAAAGCTACGATATCTTACGGTACCAATAAGGGAATCTTACTTTACCAGTATTTTGACAACTTTAGTCCCATTTTGAATCATTTTCAGCTGAATTTGTTATAACCGAACTAGCCAATGGCTAAAAATCTCTTAAATAAAGACCAAAACAAAAAGCTGAATTTGTTTCGATCCGTAACAGTTTTGTATCACCAAGAGTTCGTATACGCCTTTGTAAACGACTACGTATACTTCAAAACACTTTTTCTCTAAAAACCCAAGATGAAATATTTTAAAACCATCACAGATTTGATTGTTAGGATCAATGCTAACATCTTGTGAAGAAAAATATGAGGTACATGAATGTTGCAAAAAAATTGCCTTCAGACATAGCGTGCGTCGGTTCATGAGTTGATGGGTCGATACCCAAGTAGCATTTCTTGTTTTATTGCACTGTATTAGTGGTTTTTGAGATCAATTTTATTAAACCGCCAATAAAATTAATAGCTCCAGCACAACCTTTTGATAACCGCTATAAGATCGTCTTCCAGCTTAGTGGACCACTCTTGATAAGGTTTATAAAGCATGTTTGAGAATCACAATAAAGCTGTCTTAAAACCTTTTGTAAGAAAGCCCCATACTCTACAAAAGGTTTTCATAGCCTCTTTAAGAATAATATTGTATCCAGCAGTTTCAAATAAACCGCCCATTTACACTTCTGACAAGTTGCAACTGAATGCTTATAATTGTTTTTAAATAACTGTTTCATGGCCAACTAGTTTTATTGCGCTTACTTATATAGCAATGGGGCCTCCCTTAGCTCAGTCGGTAAAGGCGCAGCTACAAAGCAAGACCATGCTGGAGGTGGCTGGGTTCAATTCCCGGTCCGGTCTAGGAATTTTTCGGGTTGGAAAATGTCTCGACTTCCCTGGGCATAAAAGTATGATTGCACTTGCCACACAGTTATACCAATGCAAAAATGGTACAGGCATCGAAAGCTTTCAATTAATAACTGTGGAAGTGCTTCTAGAATACTAAGTTGAGAGCACGCAATAAGCTAATATGCGATATGCAATAAGCTTGAAATGCGAAGAAGAAGAAGAAGTTATATATCAATAAAAAGATTTATTTTTGGGTTTTATAAGGGCAATTCATATTGCTTTTTTTATAATTCAAGGCAATCATAAAACCTTTCATAAGTGAAAATAGCATAAGCATCAGCAACCCCTTTAAAGCTGATAATTAAAGGGGTTTTGTAGATAGCTATGAGAATGTTCCATGACTTGCATTGTATATGACCGTCATAAAGCTGTAGATAATGGTTGCAGCTGCAATAAAACCTTTATAAATTTTGAATATAGCCAAGCAGCTCTAGATTTGTTACTTGGGTAGGTAGGGTCCAGGTGTGCGAGCTGTCTCCCTGGCGTCGGTAGCATTGGTGCTCAGCACGGAAAACAAGATTGACGGAAAACAAATCAAGAAAAAAAAAACAAACGTAAACCCCTTGCGAATGAATACTTAAAGCGAACTGTCAAAGAACCATTTCACCAGCTTTTCGTTAATAGTGAAATAACATGGTCGGAAATTTAACTGGCGATGATCAATCCAATTCTTCCATCACGATGGAGTCGGAAATGCAGTATTAAGATGGCATTAAGTCTGGGGTAGACACTCAAGTCTCTTAGAGTCAAGTGCACACTGGGCCAGAAATGCAATCTAGCGGATCAAAATTAATAACTCCGAAACGAAGCATTTCCGCGACTTGGTGTCTTCGGTAAAGTTTCTCATCATAATAAGGACCATCTTTTGACATCAACAAACAGTTCAAAACTCTTCCGCAAAGATGGCACCTCAATCTAACTTCTTTCTCTGACGTTTTAGAGACTTGATGTCTTGCGCAAAGTTGTTTGCCTTGATAAAATGAACCACTCTTTTCATGACGTAAAATTTCCACAGCCTACTGGTTCCGAGTTATATGGAGTTAAAAAAAAATCAGAAACATGTTTTTTTCTTTCTGTTTCGGTTTTTTTTTGCTGACAAGCAAATAATATTATATTTTTCTCTTATGAAAATGCATTAAATAAATATTTTTTGTCAAGAAACATACTGGTTTATGCTTCAAATTTTAAAGATATTGTTGAAAAACCGAAAAAAAACAACAGTTTTGATCTTTAATATCTCCTAAAACGCAAAAATGGCAATCTGACATTTTCAGCAAAAATTAAACAATACTTGATAAACAAAACATCACAATTTGAGACAGGTATATTTGGGTGTTTTTGAGATTTTATCATTTTAGTGGAGATGTCTTTTTTTCTATAACTTTTTTTAATGCATTGAAATGGCGTTTTGTAGACTTGACGACTTAGACAAAGTTGTTTATCTTGATAAAATAAACAACTCTTCTCAAGGAGTCAAAACCAGTGCTGATAAAAATCCTTTCTTCTACACTCAATTTAGCTGAAAATGAAGAAAACCTTAACAGATAGACCAACTACCTGCATGAATTTGAATTTTAATATAATCAAATTCCCTTGATCTAGGCAACCTCTGAGTATCAAAAATAACATTTGTTTTTCTTCATTCGTGGCTGAATTCTCATTATCGCCTCTGTTGTTGTAAATATTGATATTCGTCTTCATCTTGGTCGGGATGATATTGAGGATCAAATGCAAAATGATTATTTTCATTTTAAACAAATATAGCGCTGAAGAACGTGGTTTTTAGACATAAATCGACGGCAAATTATTGCCTCAAGCAGAACTGATGATAATATCGATGATTTAGGCAGTGTGGTCGACAATATTCAAAATAATCATTTTGCCCAAAATGTCGTTGATTATTTTGCTTTTGAGGATCACTTCTGATTTTGACAATTTTGGGTTTGATAATCGAGCACTGGTGAATATCAACAAACGCGTATTCGTCGAAGTATAATAAACTCATTTGTTCATTTCGCTCGTTTCGTAACTACGAAGATGTTCAAAACAAACGCAATTCATCGACACTGGGTTGAAGCGATACTCCTTGCATGTGATGGTAAATGATAAAAACAGACACTGGTCAAAACTCCACAGCCTACTGTTTTCGAGTTATATGAAATTACAGAAAAAATGTGAAAATAAGTGTTTTAATTTTAAATATAACTAATATATAACTTAACTTAACTATATAACGAGCATTGCTTAATTTTTGCCGATAATGTCGGATTGCGATTTTTTGCGCTTTGGGAATTATTAAAGTACAAAAATTGTTGTTTTTTTTTTCGTTTTTCAACAATACACACCAAAAAATTCTGAATTTTACTGGCGATGTAAACATCCATGCATGCAAACATGCATGCATGTAAACTTCCTTTTCACGTAAACTAGCAGCTTGCAAGAAATGTTGCAAACAAAAGTGGACAGTTGCATACAATATATGGAATATTGCATTACATGTCTCATAAATTTACACGATCTATAATCTAAACTTGTATGATATATGACGCTCCATTTATGTGCATCATAGTAACGGAAATTTACACTACTTTTTTTTAGCTGTGTATCTTTAAAATTTGAAGCTTAAACTAGCATGTTTCTTCACAACAAATGTTTATTTAATGTATTTGCAAAAGTTTAAAATATAACATTATATGGTTGTCAGCAAAAAAAAACCGAAACAGAAAGAAAAAACCATATTTTCGACAGTTTTTTCTTCAACTCCATATAACTCGGAACCAGTAGGCTGTGGAAATTTTACGTCTTAAAAAGAGTTGTTTATTTTGTCAAGGCAAACGTCAGAGTTTTGAACTATTTGTTAATGTCAATAGATGGTCCTTATTATGATGAGAAACTTTACCGGAGATACCAAGTCGCGGAAATGCTTCGTTTCGGAGTTATTAATTTTGCTCCGCTAGATGGCATTTCTGGCCCAGTGTGAAGTGGTATCAGCAGCCGGCAGAGGAGCTATACGGAGTCAGCTGAAACGAAACCAACCAAAAAGTCAATCATATTGATGCATCCTCAGAAATTACGCAAAAATGGTGATGTTGTGATAAATTCGGTATCCCCGAAGCAAACTCGCTTTTTGTGATGCAAGTAAGCTTAAAGCTGAAAGGGTTATTTATTTTTAGATAATATGACATATCACGAATTTAACAATTACTTACATTTAGTCTCCGAAATTGTATGATTCTAGACAACAAATTACAAGTATCAAAAATTAGGCTAAGATCTAGATTTCTGGTGGATAGACATAATTTTAGTATAATATAAATATAAGTTTTACGTTTAAGTTACTTTAGGTACAACTCCTCGTCACATTAGATCAAGACTGCAACTCACTTCTATAGCCTATTGTTGGACAAGGTATGCGTGTGAGTAAGTAGCGCATTCGAAGGTGCACTTAGGAATAAAATGCCCTACTTCTGTTCGAGGGGTGTTCGTTCCTAACATCCCCCCCCCCTCGTGTCGCCAGAACTATCGCTTCGGCGTCACAGCTCGGATCTACGTCTAGCACGGCTAGTTTGACGACTGGTCGTCTTAAAGTACCGCTAGATGTCTGTACATCCACCCTTCGTACTGTACCATCTTTTCCTGGGTATGTTCGTACAACTCGTCCCCTTTGCCACCGGTTCCGTGCATTTTCATCAACTAAGACGACTAGCTCACCCTCCTTCATAGTTTTGACGTTATGGAACCACTTTGTTTTTCTGCTAATAGTCGGCAGATATTCTCTGATCCAGCGTCGCCAGAAGCTGTCCAGCGTGTGTTGAATCATGTTCCAGCTACTTCGTATTGCAAATCTTTCATCCACGGGCTGTTTAACTGGCTGTCGTACTCCATCGAAGCTAAGGAGGAGGAAATGATTCGGGCTCAAGGATTCGTGTTCAGCGGTCTCTAGTGGGATGAAGGTCAACGGTCGGGAATTGACCATATGCTCTGCCTCGACGAGCATGGTTACGAACGACTCTTCGTCAAGTATGCGTTCGGTAGGAAGTGCTCCCAGAGCAGTCTTCACTGAGCGAACCATCCTCTCCCAGCATCCCCCCATGTGCGGTGCCGCTGGTGGATTGAATCTCCATTGTGTGTTGGTGTCGGTGAAGGAGCTACTTAGCTGTTGATTGATCGTTCGTATTTCCTCAGTTAGTTCTTTGTTTGCTCCCACAAAGTTGGTCCCGTTGTCCCTGTAAATTTCACGTGGAGCACCTCTACGGGCTACAAACCGTCGAATCGCTTTCTTGTACTGCTCTGATAGTCAAGCACGTGAAGAGAACGACCCACCGCTTCACTGGTCGACGTAATATTCTGATCGTGTATGGCCCGAAGAAATCAATTCCAACCATGCTAAATGGACGGCAGAATGGCATTAATCTAGCTTTTGGAAGAGATCCCATTCTAGGTGCAACCGGGACGGCTTTGTACACACGGCACCATGCACATTGTTTCCTCACCAGACGTACCAGCACCCTCAACTTCGGTATCCAGAACTTCTGCCTGATCTCATTTACCACGGTCTCGTCGTTCGCATGTTGAAACTTTCGATGATACGAATCCAACAGCAGTTTAGTGATACGACTATCTCGCGGTAATATAATTGGGTTTCTGGCATCCTGATCAATAAAGTCAGCTGCTTGTATGCGACCGTCAACACGGAGCACGTTGAACTCGTCAATCGCTGGAGTGAGTTTAGCAAGCGAGGTGGTTCGATCCAGGAGACGACATTTTGCAGGAATTGACTGAAGATTGCGCTTCAACACTGCAACTTCATCTGGAAATCCGTCAGACTATGCCATCCGCCACAAACACCGTTCAGCTTTCTGCAGCTCGTCCCGTGTCAATTCATTCAGCTGCAATGGAGTTTTCTTATACAACCGCATCCGATTGTCGATGTATCGCAGAACATATGCAGCACTTCGTATTAGCAATGACAAGATGCTCGCAAACAAAGGCAGGACGAAGTTCTACGGTTGTCGGTTCGATTTCGTCGCGGCAATCCCTCGGCCACTCTTGCTCGTTGTCGTATAGGAACTCAGGTCCACGGAACCATCGGCTGTCAGGCTCGAAGGATGGTCCCTTTCCCCACTTTGTGGCTTTATCGGCACGTTGAGCTTCGTTGGTATCCACCGCCATTCTTCTACCGACGATAAACTGAGAATCTCGTTGATCCGAAACGCAACGAATTGCCGGTAGCGGCGTGCGTCTGACTTAATCCAGGCGTTGACTGTCGATGAATCACTAAAAAAACAGGTACGTTGAATCTTTAACGAATGCTTCTCCTCGATCGTCTTTCTCAGACGAGCTCCAAGTACCGCCGCTAACAGCTCCAAGCGCGGTGTAGATAAAGATTGAAGTGGTGCAACCTTCGTTTTTGAGGATACCAAGGAACATCTAACATGACCGTTGTCAACA